AAGAAATCTCCCAACAACAACAAAACCCCAGAGCACACAGATTCACAGCTGGATTCTAGCAGACTTATAAAGAAGAACTCATAAAACAAAAACAAAAACAAAAACAAAAAAAACCCTCATGCTTATCCTACAGAAATTATTCCATAACACTGAGAAGGAGGGTATCCTCCCTAACTCATTCTAAACGATTGGTACACACAGGTGCAAAGGGATATAACGGACATTAGAAATCAAGAAGGGGGAGAGTGGGGGGTGGTGTGGGATAAAAACTTACCTATGGGGTACAATTGACACTATTCTTGTGACAGACACACCAAAAGCCCTGACTTAAGCATTATACAAGGTATCCATATAATAAAATCATTTCTACCCCCTTAATGTTTTGAAATAAAAATAAATAGGTACTGTGATTGCCCACCTTATTTTTGGTTTTCCTGAAGGTGCTTTCTTATGTAGTAGTTGTTGAATTTGGTGTTCTTGCAGTGGGACAATCACTGGAGGGTTCTGTTTGGCCAACTTTTTCCACCCGCTTTCCCATTGTGTAAATTTTTATGCCCAACATTATGCTAGGCATTATAATGCACAGAAATGAGGAAGGACTCAAGGTCTTATCCTTGAAGTAACCACCTTATCCTTTGTTGCCTTATTAGTAAGAAGAGACATGCACAAATAAAATGATTAAATGTGTCATCAAACCTAAGGCCATCAACCCAAGTTTTGAATCTCACTATATATAAATAACCGAGTATGTAAGGCTTCCCAGTCCTTTGCATATGCCGGACCTACCCCTCCACACACCAGATCCTCTGCTCATGCCCACTGTGGCTTCTTCCAGCACTCAGGTTACGTTGATGGTGCTCTGCCAGCTAGAGACCATCACTGGACACTTGCCAAGCCCACGCAGATCTCTCGTTGATTCTTGGTTCCGTTCAAGTTCAGTGAACATATACTGTGGCCACCCCATACTTCCTACCTCCCTTCACCTTGATTCCTCTGTTTTTTACTACTCACCAGTCAGTTACTTCCACCTCAGACCACACTCTTTCAAATGTAGATGCACCCTGTTTTGGCCTGTTCTGTTTCTCCCATTTCTTCCAACTCTTGCCAAGTTACTTCAGGGAAGGAACACTAGCATTCTTATGTTCCCCATCTCTCCGAACAAAGAATCTCTGTCATCCTGGAGCCCTCTCATATGAATAAGGCTGGTGACTCTTGTGTATTGAGGAAAGGAAAGGTGCCTGCATTTAAATATGAAGAAAATAATGGTGTTGAATCGGTGATACCATCCTTTGAAGCTTCTGAAAATATGCAGAAGTTCCTCTCTGAATCTTCATTAAAAAAATATCTTTCTCTAGAATTTTCCAAATACTTCCTTCAAAATGTCTATTCAAGATAAAATGCTTAAAATATAAAATTTAGAGAAAAAAATATCAAATTTTATTTCTTGTTTATTGCAAAAAACATTCTCTTGTTTATTTTTCTTTGCAAATGTAACCAACTTAAGCAACAGAATTGACTGAACATTCTGAGTTCCAAATGAACAACTTTTGCACAAATTGTCAAATGTAATGCATAAGCATAAATATTAAATGAGGATGTCTCATATAAGATATAGTACAAAATGAATAGAACAAACAATACCTATCATATTAATTAAAAGGAGAGAGATGAGGAGGCAACAGAGAGGCAGACAATTATAAGCTTGAAAAAACTGTGAGCACAGGATGTAGAACTTAAGTTGGACTATAAATAATAAACATTGTCATGGTAGAGGAGGGGTTGAAAGGGTATCTTAAATTGGGAAAAAGACTATTGGCAAAGGTCTGTTTGGTTGAAACAGATTTCTTATTCAGGAAAAGTCTACAAATAAGGATTGGGTGAGTATACAAACACCTACAAGGGTTACATTAAAGAGTTAAGTGGATTTTTTTCCCATAAATAATGGAAAGCTTTGAAAATTTTGAAGGACTATAGTGAATCTGATAAAGTAGTTTTTAAAAATTGCCATTTCTGGAGATATTTGAGAAATTGGAAGGCAACGAGAATAGGAGACTATTTATGACCACATGCTTGTGAGATGCCAGGGACCTGGAATAATGTGGTGGGAATGTCAAACAAGGGGAACCATGACAAATGCTTCACACACAAAGTGGCAAAGTCTTGATGAATTAAGGGAGGCGAAGAAAGACAATGAGTCAGAGATAGTGAGGTTTCAGACTGGTGCTCAGAGAATGAAGAGGAAATCTGATAACAGAAACAGCGAGGTCAGAAGGGAAAATCATTTGGATGGATGGAGAGAAGGAAAGAGATAAGTACATGGGGTTTGGTGCTGTCAATAGAAATTTAATGTGAGCCACATATGTCATTTTAAATTGTCCTGCAGCTGCCTTCAAAATAGAAAAATAAATAGTTGAAATTATGTTTAAAAATGCTTTATTTACCCCAATATATTCAAAATGTTATTTCAACATATAATCAGTAAAAAACAGTATTAATAAGACAGTTTACATTCTTTTTTTCATACTCCTTGAAATCTGGTGTATATTTCACATTTATAGCACATTCCAATTTAACTAGCTGCATTTCAAGTGCTCAGTAGCTACCATATTGGACAGCACGTTATTAGATATTTTAATAGAAACTGACAATTATTTAGCAAATTTCTTAATTCAGCTGGTGCTAAGACTCACTGTATTTGAGAAATTATAAGTCTGTATATCCTTTCTCCTTCTCTATTCCTTTTGTTTATTTTGGCCATTTCAGATTCAAGATGTTCTTTTAGTAGAATGTCATTCTTTCCTAAAAGCACCAAGAATTTTAGAAATATTCATGATATACTGTTTCATTGCTTGGAGTTGCTGCTGTCTTATTTAATTCTCTGTTTTACTTACAACTTTAATTAAACCAATCGGTCTGAATATTTTTTCTTCTTCCTTTGTCAGTCTTAAAAGTTTCGATTATGAAATAATTCAGCAATGTATCCTCAGAAACCTGGGAAAAATGACATTTAGTACTCTGAAAATTAAGACTGCATTGTTTATGTTCCCTAGTCTGTTTATATATGTATTTCTCCAGTGTTTAGTATCTGACGTAAACTTGCTGGATTTCTGGTCTTTACTATATGCTGCTAAAGAATGCAGTACAAAGGGAGCCTACTTCTATAGAAAACAAGCCAAGGACATTGTGTTCCATCTTTACAATGAAATGCAGATTTCCCATTAAAAGACCAATCCATCATTTCAAAAGATTGAATAGGATGGTGCATTAAAAAAATCCAGCTGCTTAATTTAGGGCATTGAAAAACATCCAATAAAAAAAATGTTCACTTGGTTGCAAACATTTTCATTTGGTTATGTATTGGATACATTTTCATTCAGTCTAGAATTTTGCCTCTTAGAATTCTGTCCTAAAATAGTTTGACAAGTGTTTCAAGCAAGTTGGTCTAACTATGAACTCCATTTATTAAATTATGTATTTGCTATTTAGAATATCCTTGTGTTTGCTAATGCATTATTAACTGTTTAAAAGAGATATTGGAATATTCTTGGAGTGCTTTGCTTTTTCATGTTTATTCTTAGGCCTCTCTCTCTTCCATTTAGTTTCTTTTGTGTTTCTTCTTTTCTTTGAAGACATTGTTTACCAAGATGGCCATTTTGTTCTCTAACCAGCTTCCTTCAGTATTGTCAGGCATCTGTTTCATGGTGCCTTATTTTTCTGGCCAGAGTGCTACCTTTTTGCTATTTTAATGTGCTTTGCCCAACTTTTTTTCCAACTAACTTAGGAGTAAGAAGTGGCAAAGCCAGTGATATTCCCTGTAACACGTCATGATACCCACAAACCAGCTAGGGAGAGCACAGAAAAGTTCTGATCCATGGTACTGAGCCTAGCCACAGATTCTCAAGGAAGTGGTCTATATGCTGTAGGAACAACACATTTGTATGGTGCATGTATTTTTCATGGGCATTAATAGTCATTTATTAAAAGTTACAGCTGTCTCCATGCTCTCCTCTTCTGGGGTCTAGTCCTGCTCTCTCTCAGGAGTAGCACCAGAGATGTAGCCTAGGACCATACAGAGGACTGCTGTCAACAAGGGCTATGCTAACCTGCCCATGGTATTAGGTATTTACTAGAATTCTTAAGCTGAGTATTTGGCTCCCTCCTATTATACTGGTTGTTAGGCATTTATACATAAAATAATATTGCCTCTGGGCCAGTCCCTAAAAGTAAATGTTTCCAATAATGCTTTGACATTCAATATGTTTTACTAACCCCAATTCAGTCCCATTTGTAGACCTCACCTCTCCAATGTCCATAGTCTTTCTAAAGAATTATTAATTTTAAAAGAGAATTTGTTCTAGTTAATTTCAGTCCACTTCTAATGAGTTTTTTTCCCCCAAAGAGATCAACAATTTTATGGATTAATTCTTTTTCAGGATCTATATTTTATTCTAGACCCAAATGAGGGAAGTATTATCTGTGCTTTATCGTAGCTTATGAGGGGTATTTCATACTAGGGTCCTTGTGCTTCCACTCTCCTGCCAACACTGGCTATCAAAACTGCTTAGGCTGCAAATAAAACATGAAATGAAATCCATCTGGCATTTCTCATTGAATTAGGACCAGAACATTTTTGTTAAATATTAACAGATGGCTAAATTCTTAATATCAAACTAACATTTAAAAACATCTAAGGGGACCCACATGAGGGGGAAAGGGTAGAGGACCATGTGTTTTCTCCATCTTGGAGCCCTTCCTGTAAACTTCCCTCACAATTTTTCTTACCCAAGTGTTGAGAATCACTGGAGTTTCCTTTCTCAAATAACTTATTCCTTGGTAGCTGGTGTCAAAATAGTGTTTGATAGTATCACGATAATGCAATCAAGTGTTAGGTAACTCAGGTGGTGTGTTGCCTTGGGAAGCTTCCTGATCTTTTGTTAAAGTCAATTTTCTCTCTCCCTTTTCCTCTCCCTCTCCCTCTCTCCCTTCCTCACCTCTAATAGGAGAAAGAAAAGAAGTACATGCTTCCCTTGGACAACTTGAAAGTTCGAGATGTGGAAAAGAGCTTTATGTCTAGCAAGCACATTTTTGCACTCTTTAATACAGAGCAAAGGTAAGAAAATGAAGCAGTTTCTGTCTTCAGATTGTTTTCCTTTAAAGTTCTACATGATCCAGAGATCATACTTGCAAATAGTTCCTTTGGTCATACCTTGAAATTTGTCAGCTCTTTAGTTTTTCTTTCATTTATTCTGTAATTTGAATTTCCACATGAATTATGGCTTTAAAAAAATAAAACTTAGAATACAAAATATCTTCTAGTATTAATTAGTTTATTTCTTGCTTTCCCAGCAGGGACCAAAATCATTCTTCATGTATCCTTAAAGCTACATTTTATAAAGCCTTTATTATCCTCATATATTATCTATATACTTACAACTTAGTTATAATTTTTAATAGTATCTGTCTAACATGCATGATTATCATTTAAGGTCTTCTTAAAACCTATGTATTATATAATAACTAAAATTCAATGAATACAATTATTCAGTTAACATAAATAAAAATATAGAGTACTTTGCAGTTTTTCAAAGCACTGTCCACATTCCTTGTCATTGGTTTTTGTAATAATTGCCCTTGAAGTTAAAAAAATAGAATTATAAATTAGAAAGTGTAGGCTCAGAAACATTAACTGACTTTCTTAAGATCACAAAACTAGTACATGGAGGAGCTAGAACTTGTATCAGGGCTTTGTCTAACTCCACATTTCCTTCCACTCATATTTCTTCATGTGGTTTTTTTTTTTTTTTTTTTTTTGGTTAAGTGGTGGGCTGATCATCATAGAGTGCCATGATTGTTTGTTGAAACTAAGCAGTGAAGTTAGAGAAGCCAATGGAGAGGTAACAGAAAATGGCTAGAGAGATATAAAAGGGCTACAACTAGGCAATCATAATAAAGGAGATTATTTTCCAAATGGAAATGTTATAGGAAAAAGCTAATTAATTTGTGTGAGTCAGTTATTAAGAGAGTGAGTCATTAGGTGGCAGGGTCTAATTTTAACCCATTTTTCCAGGCTGCCTTTTATCTTTATTTAGCAATGAATGAAGTTACTTGATTGGGTTCAATGACTGGCCCAGGGTCAATCACACAGTAAATTAAAATAGCAAAAGACGACTTCTTCCTACATTCCCAGTCAGTTGCTCAGAGTGACTCATAATACAAAAATACTTAGAAAAACCACAAGAGCAAGCCATTTAAACAGTCAAGGGGAAAGAAAATTAAATACAACTTCCCTACCAAATACTAAAATGGGATTTTTAAAAAAGACTTAGTATTATTTGAGAGCAGCTTATGAAAACATCCTGAAAATGGTAAAGAATGAAAAGCTTTCCTAGAGAGAGCAGTAGTGAGCCTGCCACACTAGAGCCGAGCTCAGTACTAGTTTGCATGTCGTCATCAGAGCAGTGACAACCAGGAGACCCTATAGCAGTCGCCAGAGGTGTGCTCAGCCTTCTTGCCTGGAAGCAGAGTGGGGCAGGTGACTGCCAAACAGGAAGTCAAACAAAATTGAATCCTCGGTCAATGTGGAAAGTTCAGGTTATAAAAAAGCTAGGTACAAATTAAAAATAAGACAAGGGTAGAGAATCTTTTTAGATGAAATACAACCGATGAAATATAACTTTGGATTTTGAAAAGAGCAAAAGCCACCAGAATAAGAAAACTCTGGACTTTAAAAAGTCTAGATACTTTGGAATCCTGGAATTCTAAAAAGGTATCGAACTCATCCACCACTTCTTAGAGACCTCTGTGAGTACATAGATATCCCCAAAGACACATTTGCCATGTCTTTTCCTTTGAAATTTTAAATTCTGTTTGTGCTGGCCAGGACCTCCAGTGCAGTGTTGACTACAGCAGGCATCCTTGTCTTGTTTCTGATTTCTAAGGAGAATTATTTTCAAAGTTTTTACAGTTAAGTACTTTTTGATAGATACCTGCTGTCAGGTGAAGAAGGTGCCTTGTGTTCCTAGATACTAAAGTTTCTGTTTTCATTTTTAAATCATGGATGGGAGTTGAATTTTCTCAATACCTCCACTGGGAAGATTATATGATTTTTCTTCTTTATTCTGTTCATGTGGTAAATACATTGATAGACCTTCTAATGTTAAACCATCCTTGATCTCTTGGGATTAAATCTAGTTAGGTCATGATATGCTATTATTTATTATGCATTCGTAAAGTTTGCTAACATTTTAACAAATGATAAAATGAGCAAGATTGGCCCATAAATGTCTTTTTTGTACTGTCCCTGCTGGTTTTAATATCAAGGTTCTGTTAGCTTCATAAACTGAAGTGGGAATAAGTTATTGTTCTTTGGAACACTTTTTTTAAGATAAGGATTAACTGTTAGTTGACTGTGGGAAGTCACCTATAAAATAAGATGGTAAATATACTTTTTGATAAATATACTTTTAACTAGTAGTATATTTAATGATTATAGATTTTAGGTTTTTTATTTTTTCCTTGGGTCAGTTTAGATAAATTATATTTTTTCTAGAAAATTATCCATTCTGTTTGCTTTTAAATATATTAGCATCAAATATTTCTTAATATTCAATGTTTTTAAATCTCTGCTATATCTGAAATTTGAACATTTCTTATTTCTAATATTAAGGCTTATCTATTTTTAATGATCAATCTTGCCAGAGTTTTGTCTATTTGCAGAGAACCAGCTTTACAGCTTTTGGCTTTTTTGATCCTCTGTTGTGTAAATTTTTTCTATTTCAATAATTTCTGCTCTCTATTATTTTCTTCCTTGTATTTTCTTTGTTTATTTTTTTGGTCTTTTTATTCTAACTTAGTTTATATGTGTAGCTCATCAATTTATATCCTTTCTTTTCTTATATATGCATTTGAATCTATAGATTTCCTTCTAGGTAGTCTTTAGCTGCTTATTACAAATTTTGAAATTTATTTTTATTACTATTTAGTTCTGTTTCCTATTCTTCATTATGGCTTTTTCTTTGAGTTATTTAGAAGTGTGTCTCACATATTATAGTGCGTAGAATTTTATCGTTTTGTCACTGTTAATTTCTAAATTCATTGTAGTATGGTCAGAGACTATGGTGTAGTCCATGATAAATTTTCATAAATATTTCATGTATGTTTGAGAAGAATATACATTTACTGATTTGGGAGTGCAGGTTCCATGAAACATGATTGGATTTGCTTATTAATTGTATTTTTCAGTCTCTATATTTACTATCTTTTTTTCTTCTTGAATAATTCAAACATTGAACAAGTATTTATTAGGGAGGTGTTATGTTCCAGGTACTGTTCTCTGCTTATACAGAGAACATCTGTGAATAAATAGACACAAAAGAGTAAATATTTTAGATTACACTCTAGGAAGGGGCATAGGCAGCAAGACAAAATAAAAAGAATCCTACTTTATCAGAGCGGCATTACAAATCTCACTTTATGATTATGAACTTAAATATTCTATTAAGTCTGTCAATTTTTGCTTTATGTATTTTGAGGCCATTCTATGTTGTTATAAGAGATTCACACAAATTTAGAATTATATCTTCCTGGTGACTTTAAAAAAAATAATTTTGGGACAATGTTCTTTATTCCTAATAATTCATTTTGCCTTAATATTTATTTTTTCTGATGTTACTATAGCTACACTAATTTTTTGGTCAATATTTTCTAAATTTTTTGTTGCTGCATAATATTTATACATATTTATGGAGTACATGTGATGTTTTGTTACATGTATAGTTTGTGTAATGATCAATTCAGGGTATCAGACACAATGAGTATTTATTACTTCTATCTGTTAAGAACATTTCAAGTCTTCTTTTAAAGCTATTTTGAAATGTAGCATTGTTGTTAACTATAGTCACCCTACTTTATACTATTGAACATTAGTACTTATTCCATCTATCTAGTGGTATGTTTGTGCCTATTAACCAACCTCTCTTCATCACTCATCCCATACCAACATCTGTCCCAGCCTTTGGTATCTATCATTCTACTCTCTACCTCCATGAGATAAACTTTTTTAGCTCCCACATATGAGTGAGAACATGTGATATTTGTCTTTCTGGGCCTGGCTTATTTCACTTAATATAATGAATGACCTCCAATTCCATCCATGTTGCTGGAAATGACATGATTTCATTTTTTATGGCCGAATAGTATTCCATTATATACATATGCAGCATTTTCTTTATCCCTTCATCTGTTGATGGACACTGACATTGATTCTATATCTTGGGTACTGTGAATAGTGCTGTAATAAACATGGAGGTACATGTTTCACTTTGATATACTGATTTGCTTTCCTTTGGATAAATACCTAGTAATGGGATTGTAGTAGTGGATCCTACGATACTCTATTTTTAGTATTTTGAGAAATCTTCATGCTGTTTTCCATAATGGCTATGCTAATTTACATTCCCACCAATAATGTATGATAAGTTCCCTTTTCTCTGCATCTGCACTAGTGTTTGTTATTTTTTTCTTTGTCTTTTTAATAAATGCCTTTCTAACTACGGTAAGATGATATCTCACTGTGGTTTTGATTTGCGTTTTTCCCTGATAAATAGTGATGTTCAGCATTTTTTCATACACTTCTTGACCATTTGTATGTCTTCTTTTGAGAAATGTCTATTTAGATCCTTTCCCACTTTTTAATGGTTTTTTTTGTTTTTGCCATTGAGTTATTTGAGTTCCTTGTACATTCTGGATATTATGAATAGTAATTTGCCAGATGAATAGTTTGCAAATATTTCTCCCATTCAACAGGGTGTCACTTCACTCTGATGATTGTTTCCTTTGCTGTGCAGAAGCTTTCAGCTTAACATAGTTACATTTGTCTATTTTTGGTTTTGTTGCCTGTGCCTTTGAGGTCTTAGCCATAAAAATCTTTGCCTACACCAATGTCCTGGAGTATTTTCACTATGTTTTATTCTAGTAGTTTTATAGTTTAGAGACTTACATTTAAGTCTTTAATCCATTTTGAGTTGATTTTTATATATGGTGAGAGATAGGGATTTAGTTTCATTCTTCTGCATATGGATATCCATTTTTTCCAACACTATTTACAGAAGA